CTCACATTTCCCGCTTCACCATTTCTCTTCCATCTGGTATTCCGAAAGTTGAATCCAGTAGATTCCATGAACTGTTCAAAGAGAAGGAAGAGAAGGAATCTTGTAAGGACCAAGATATTAGCTTTGATGAAGATGGCGATCTTGTTTTACCAAGACGACGCCGTAAGTACCGATTAACTTCAACAACCTCGGAGAAGCTTTTATTTGTCTTTAATTTTGTTTGTTTTTGATTACTTGTGTTTAACTTACAGAGAATTCGCGGCGTTGTTTTACTATGAAAATCCAGCATAATATCACTTCATCCATTCCCAGTGTTGGTTTGCAGGTGATCATTTTATTCTTATGAATTATGATGTTTCAAATTCCATTTTATAAGCCATTTAGTTAGGTAACAAGTAAAGACTTAATTTAGAATCCGTTTTCGCCTTTTAGGTATGGAGAGCCGAACTAGTTTTGTCAGATTTTGTGTTGCATAAGATGTGCACTTCAACGGAGTTCGATGGCATTGTTTCTTTAGAGCTTGGTGCTGGAACAGGTATTTTGATCACCACCTAATATATGCTCTCATGAAGAAAAAATTGTACAATAGTGTTAGATATGCATGGAGAATCTCGTTAAGTTACTATGCCTGTTATCAAAGTTGAGTTTTTACTAGAGGGCATAAACCTTTCAAATTTGCTGACTCCACATTTGGGGAATGCACAATACTTGTGTAGTTGTTGAAATTGCTTAGCATAAAAAAGTTTTACGTTATGTTCTAGATTTGTTAATCTATCCAGCCAAGAAATTTTCAACTGGAATGTGCTTGGTAATTTTGTGATCATATATTAACTCTCTTATGATTGTATTAGTGCATGTGATATTAGTCACTTGCTTAGATTTGTTAATAAATACGATTAACTGAATAAGAAAATTTTCAAATTCGTTCCCTGTACATGGTTTCTTACACGCATCTTTTGGAAAACTGTAGTTGGTGTGTATTGGGGCATGTTGACTATCTAGCTTGAACAATCTAAGACGTCCAACTCTGAAACATTATTGCATCTGGTTTGACAGGAATTCTTCACATTGTCTTTACCAGGTCTGGCAGGAATGTTGCTCGCGCATGCTGCTAAGACTGTGTTCTTAACAGGTAAGGCCTGCTATTATTTATCTACTGAATGTTGCTTTGACTTACTTTAATTACCTGTTGCAGCAGTTTGCTTCAATTACCTAGGTCATTTTTTTTTTTGACAGACCATGGTGATAAAATCCTGGAAAACTGTGTTAAGAATGTTCAACTTAATTCTGGAGCATTCAATTGTCAAGCTGCAGTTCATGTGCGTGAACTTGATTGGGTGCAGCCCTGGCCGCCTAAAGTTGGCTTAGACCTTGTATCTCAAGAAAGGTGATAAATTTGGTTTCATTGTGAGACTGGTTTTATAACCTGAGAAGCATTTGTATTATTTCCATTTATGATTGTGATGTACTTATTTCATAGAGGAGATAAGAATTCAACCCTTTAATCTTTCAGTGGTGGAATCCAGGTATTCCTGGAGCTTGTCAGAACTTGAAGAAGTCCAGAAAGCTTCTCTGCTTTTAGCTGCTGATGTTATTTACAGTGATGATCTGACAGATGCATTATTTGGCATTTTAGACAGATTAATGTCACAAGGCTCAAAAAAGGTATGTTAACGTGGTAGAATATGCACTCACCAGTGCATGGCATAGCTAATAATACCTTAGCAGATTAGTGCTAATGATTGTTCATGGTTGAAAATCTTCTCTGTTATATTTGTTCATGCCACATGATTGAGGTTTTGGATCAACCTCAATGCTAATATTCTTGCAAAGCTGATGATTAAACTTGAGAAAATTCAAAGGAAGATCTTGAACTTGAGAAAGTTTTCACATTTGGCTAAGAGTTATTTATATTGATGTAGTGTTATCCTTCTGATTGAAGTCAGGATGGATGCATAACTAGGTGGATTTTAATTGCTTGTGCATCATGAGGCCACTGGCTGAATCCCTGTTACATGTACATGTTAATATACGATAAATTTGTACCCAGTTTTAATGATTGTGGAATACATTCTATACATGTCTCATTTTTTAAATATATGTTAGTCATCACTCCTTATTCTTTTCTGCTTAGATATTGTTCTTTGAAGTCTCCCTCCTATCATTAGGGCAATCCTCAACTGCATTCCTCTGATTTTTAGGTGTTATACTTGGCATTGGAAAAGCGCTACAACTTCAGTCTTGAAGATCTTGATGTTGTAGCAAATGGTTATTCACATTTCAGGTGTTACTTAAGGGAGGATGATGGTAGGTATCTTACCATGCAAAAATTTATACAATGCCACGAGTTCTGTCTTTTGGGTTTTATCTCATCGTGTGTCTTTGCAATGGCTGATGCAGAATGTGAAGGCCTTGAAAACAGATCCTTGCCTTGTTTTATGGGTAGACGTATTAATGTTGCAGAAATTCCACAATATGTGGGGGAATATGAGAGAGGAAAAGATGTAGAGCTTTGGCAGGTTAGATACAATAAAGGACAGCTACAACCGTGAGTCTTCTAATTCTTTTTATACAAAGCTTCGGCTTATGAAAGTTCTTATGTTTGATGAACAAGGCACTGCTTGATCTCATTTTATGGAAATGTTATAATGTAGCCCAGAGTGCCTTTTACAAATGATTTGTCGTCCAGGTTCTTGGTTCTTTATTTGGTTTCTATCAGTTCTTTGATATGAGGCTTGGTTCAATATACATTCTTAAGGAGTCTGAAGTCAGATTAAGAACAGGAGCATTGCAGGCCTCGAAGTTAAGCTGTGTTTGGTTGTATAAAATTAGGTTTATTTGTAATCAAGTAGAAGGAAGATCTCTGGCTTTTTTGCATTCTCTCTCAAAAAAGTAACTTGAATTCCATTGCCTTTTGGTAGCAAAATAGGATTAGAAAATAGAAATGATAGTTTAGGAACAGAAGTGACAAAGTGGAAATCGAGGGAATATGTCCCATTGCTTTTAGGCAGGAAAGTTGGGAAGAAAGAACTTAAAATATTGGACTCTAAAACAAATGAAAGGTGATTAAAAATGTTTTGTTTGTTTTTTTGGTCTTGTTCCCGTGATCGGACATGTGGAACATTGTCATGTTATGTAGAGGATCAGGCTGTTGCAGTAGGCCCAATTCCATGCTCCCTGATTCTAGGAAGTGTAGCCCATGAATTTTGGGCAAGCCTGAGTAGTTTTATTTAGTATTATGAAAGATGGGCTCTTGCATTTTAGTAATAAATACTATTAAAGTCCATCTACACTTACTTCCTTATGGTGGCCTAGCATGGTTTTATACTAAATATGTTTTGGGCCAAATCAAGATTTCTAAAAGCTTTGTTTGTTCTTCTAATTTTTTGAATTAAAAAAATCTTTTGTTGCAATTCGAAGATTTATAATTTTTAGATTTTCTCAGTGCAACTAAATAATTAAAAAATTCATCATTTTGAAAGTTACATAATACATACAAACAATTATTATGGAAGAAAGGAAACAATAGGAAAAAGGTTGAAACTGATTTTTTTAATGCAAAAGAATAAAAAATAACAAAGTCTATTAATAGATCCATTTTGTTTTTCTCTATGTGAAAATACTATAAGCCCTTAAACTACCCCAAATATTGTCTTGTCTTTTTATTGTTGTCAAATAAGCAAACCCAAATAAATATCTATATTGGCAAAAAAAATGCCACTTGACACATCAATTGTTATATTTCAAATCAGTTGTAAATGATGTTACGTTTTTAGACGAAATCGAATAACTAAAATGATCATGTCTTAACTGAGAAATTCCATCAACCTAGGCATGTGCATAAGATACGATAGGCTTATACGATGGTGAAAGTTACCTAGTACATATAACATATTTTCGCCAACATGAAAATCTATTTAAATATAAGTCATAAGGTAAGGGTTTATATGAATAAAATAAAAACTTAGTTACAAAAAAGGTTTAGAGATTTATATAATATATAAACTTTATTAATTTTTTTCTTTGGTTATTATCAGAAGTATTATTTGATCCATTGTCAAAAGCCTAGAAACGTGAGAAACGCCCAGAAAAACTCAAACTTGAACAGGCCATTAATGATGAGAAGAGAGAAGAGGGGGGCGTTGTGTACAAAACAAGAGAAGAATCAGAGCAAGTGGTAGGTCCCTGGTCCCAACGAAAAGAAAGAAAGCCACTTTCTTTCTGAAACGAACAAAACAAAAACAGGCGAAATGAGTGGAAAAACAATAGTGGTAGAAAGAAAGAAAGACTCCGCATTTTTCTTTTCTTTTCTATTCTCTTCTCTTCTCTTCTCTCATGTGATTCTGAGTCGCAAATTGCAAAACCAAAGCTGTGCCTGTGTCTTGGCTTTGTGCAAGCATATTATGAGGGCAAAGCAAACACTACCGAAGCAACCAACGTGGAACGTTGCGGTCACAAGTGTCGTTAACTAAAGTAACGATTCTCTGACACGATCTCTGTCTTTCACTGTTGCTTTCTTACTCAATCCCACCGCCACGGCCTTTGCTTTTATGAAATCGTAATTATTAGAATACTACGTTTAAAGTTATTTTAAATGCGTATATTTTCTTTATTTAATGTGCTATTCTCTAAAATTTTAAAATAAAATTTCGTATTAATTACAAAATTCTTTTTTTTATATGGTATGCATGCCATATTTAATTGAATTAACTAATCCTAATATCAACCACTTGAAATTTCAACATAAATTCACGAATAAAGCACAAGAAATCAAACAAGTACTTGTAAAGAAATGAAACAATAAGACCCTCCCCCAACCGACCCTTATTTTCTGGTCTCATAATTATTTGATAGTTTATACCCTTATGATCTTTTAACCTTATTATTATTCACCATTAATTATTCTTTTAATTTATTCCATTTGTTGATCCAAGATACTGAAAACGCTGCCCGAGGCCCCACCTCCATTTCTAGTAACTGTCTCCACACTCAGTCCCCATACTCTTGTCCACTAAGCAAAGAGACGACACCGTTTCATCGGCTCCCAGTCCCAGACAAAACCACTTTCTTCTCCCTCACTCCGCCACGCCAGTAAACGCAGCAAAAGCTCTCTCTTCCAACCAAACCACTAAAATAATTCAATTTTTCCATTTTTTTTTTAATTTCCAAATTTTGGTTAATTTTTATTTTGGAAATTCTAGGGGAGAGATGGGTTGTTCGCAATCGAAGATCGAGAACGAAGAGGCGGTTACCCGCTGCAAAGAGCGGAAGCAATTCATGAAAGAAGCTGTTGCGGCGCGAAACGCCTTCGCTGCCGCCCACTCCGCCTATGCCATGTCCTTGAAAAACACCGGCGCCGCCTTAAGCGACTACGCCCACGGCGAGGTCCAGAATCCCAACCTCTCTTCTCACTCTGGGCAGTCGGTGGTGGGGCCGCCGCCGCCGCAACCGCCTTTAGTCGACAAACTCTTTCCTCCACCTCCGCCTCCAGGGAACCTCTCCGGTGATCCGGGGGTTCCGATTCAACGGTCGGCTAGCATGCCTATACAGATGCCGTTGAAGGGGAAGCAAAGGGAAACGTCGACAGGCACGATTTTGGAAGATGAAGAGGAGGATGATGACTTGGAAGGTAGTGATAGGTTGGTGAAGCGAAGATCGGGCCATTATAGGGGAAGTGGGAGTGGTGGTAGGAGTAGGAGGGAAGTGGTGGAGGAAGCGGAGGAGGTGGAAGAAAGGGTGACGTCGACGACGGTGCAGGCGCGGGCAATGCAATCGCAGCCCTCCCAGGATTCGACTTACTATTACTTCTTTCCCACGGAAGATAGTGTTCCTGGGCCAAGTTTAGGGGAGGTGGAAGAAATGGGGGTGGAGAATAGGGAGGTGGAAAGGAAGGTTCTTGAGGAAATCCCGAAGGCAATGGAGGCGGAGGTGGTGGTGGAGGAGAAGAGGAGGGATGAGGAGGTAGTCACGGAGAGGGGACAGAGGACAGCAATGGAGGCGGAGAAGCCGGTAGCGGCTATGGCTGGGGTGGGGAAGGGAACCAAGAAGGTTGGGAAAGTCGGGGTTGGTAGTTCAGGGGAGAAGAGGTTGGTGAAAGAGAGTTTTAATTTGTTGCAGGTATTTGCAGAGCTTGATGATCATTTCCTGAAGGCGTCAGAAAGTGCTCATGAGGTTTCGAAGATGTTGGAGGCTACTAGGTTGCATTATCACTCTAATTTTGCTGATAATCGAGGTAATGGGTTTCACTTTTGAATTATGAAATTGAGCATCAGTACGGAATTTTTAAGATTTGGATTTGGATTGTTGGATCTTTCTTACATAAATGAGTAGAATCCTAGATACTTTTCAGTATGTTTTTAACTGCATAACGTTGGGTATCAGCCTAAAATTTCTGAGATTGGATTTGAATGTTGCTTGGATTTCCAAAGAAGATGAGTGTATTATGGTGATAAGTAAATTTGGGTTTTCATAATCTTGAAAATTTTGAGTTATTAGAGTGAGAAGATTTGGATTCAGGATGGTGATGGATCTTGCATGAATCATAGACCTAGAGGGTTCAGGGTCAGATTTATTCACTGCATATCAGTAGTTTAAACTTTAATCTTTATTGAAAACTTCAATCAATTTTGGTTAAGTGAAACACAATTTGGGTTGGTAGAAGTTTTTGCTTCAGTTTGTAGAGCTCTTGTTTTCATTAAGGGTCCATTTTGAACGCATGAAAATGTTTTCTGGAAATGTTTATCAGCATTTTTCATGTTTGGGAGACGGAAAATGTAAAGTTTATTATAAAATATTTTCAGGTCAATGAGATTAAACCCGTTGACCGAAGGAAATTGTCCTCCGCTCTTGCAGGGCGTAAGGCAATTTCCTGAAACTCACCCTTCCCTCCCCTCCCTTGGCTTTCCTTACCTTGACTTCCTCACCCCGTCTTAACCCAGTTGACCCCATTACGCAACTCTGGCAACCCATGAACGGCGACCAACAGGAGTAACTCCAGCTACCTCTGTATCCTTTATTCCATCCCCAAACTCCAAGATCTTTTACTCCTCTCTGTTTCCTTATTGAAATCAATTCAAGCTCAACTCAAATCTCTATTTTCCCCTTTGAGTGCCAGCCTCTTTTAATTCAGGCTATAACAACTATCAGCCAACTCCTCCTCTACCAAAGTAGGAGCCAGCATGTTTAACCACTACTGAAGGGCCATATCACAATAGCAGCAACGTCCCCGACAAGTTTATGCCATACCCAACTATCTTATTGTGTTGCTCCATCTCTGCTTTTCCCAACCAGAACATGTTCCAACTAAATCTGTATGGGTTTTTTTGCACAACTTGTTATGTTCAGATTTGTTTGGTGTTGAGTTAATTTGTTTGGGGATTCCTTGACTTCATTTATATAAATTTATATGATTAATTTGATGCTCCAATTAGCTTGAGTTGGGTTTTGGATTAGTTTGATGTTCCAATTAATTGTTATTAATTTTGCTTGAATGGAAAAATCGTTGATTTTATACCTAATAGATGATTTATGGGTTTTGTTTAATTTTAAAAATTCATGAAAATCTCTTATGATTATGAAAAATGTTATGATGATTTCTTTGAGGTCAAGATTATAAATTAATAATCCATTTTGATGATAGGTTTTAAAACTTAAACATGATTTTAGTATTATTGATGTTGGTTTAGTTAGTAATGATTTAAGGAACAGAATATTTTTGGTAATTTAGCCAAACGACAGAAAATATTTTCAGTTGTTTATCCAAACAACCGAAAGTATTAGATTTTCCAATAAAATGTTTTAAACAGAAAAAATTTTCCTTCAGCAAGTTATTTTTCAGTTACCAAATAGACCCTAAATAGCTGACATTTTCCAGTTGTGTTATTGTAACTGTTTGTAAAGATATAAATAAACATTTAACTATTAACTGGAGATCAGCTATGCAGGATCTTATAGGTGAAGAATTAACAGTTTGACTAAAAACTTTGTGCTCTTTTTTCTTCCTTCTTTTGATCTGTTCATTTAGAATACATAATGGAACAATTTGATCAGTTTATTCATATAATGTAGCTTAAACAAGTGTTATATTATCTTAATTTATGCTTTGCAGGACATATTGATCACTCTGCAAGAGTGATGCGTGTTATTACTTGGAATCGCTCATTTAGAGGATTAAAATTAGACAATGCGGATAATGTGAAGGATGATTTTGATTCGGAGGAGAATGAGACTCATGCCACTGTGTTGGATAAATTGCTTGCATGGGAAAAAAAACTTTATGATGAAGTGAAGGTATATTAAAGAAGTTCTTTCTCTTCATTCTTCTGCCATTTGTTCTCTTATTCATTTTTTATTTTCTATTGATTGACCACTATTTTGTTGCATATTTTTAATAGTATAAGACATCTGTTTTAAAATGCTCAATGACATGATACCTTCTCCGTGACAAATTAAACCGGCATAATCTTTCAATTCTTTTATAATGCTAATGTTTTTCCTTATTGCATGATTGAACCTTCAAGATAGAAGGGCCTGTATTTGTAGTTACCTCGTCCTGAATAGTTGTTGAATACAAGGTGAGAGACCTTTGAGTTGTGCATAGGTTCTTGCTGGTACTTGCCCTTTGAACAATATTTTAGACTTTTTATCACATCAGCTTGCGATTGCTCTGCTGCAAGTTCCTTTTTTATGGATCATTTGTACACATGCATGCTTGTGTAGACTGGGACCATAAGTAATCTATAACTACACATGAAGCAACAAACTTGTGAGTCATTTTAGGTTTTGTGTAGTTGATGTAGAACTAATTTGTTCCTTGTATGTTGAACCACCCATCTTGTTTAATCTGAAAAATACTTCCAAGTGCCAACTCTCTTGTGGTAGATAACTAGTGGGATGTAGATGTATTCTTCCTGTTCTGAGCACACCATAAATAGAAAAAAGAGGACCACTTGTCATCTGAGTTCAGTAGCTTATATACAAACTCATTATCCAATTAGGCTAGCAGGTCATAGCATCCCAAGGAAATCTCTCCTTTACCTGTCACTCAAGTCCTAAGCCGTGATTATTCTAGAGAACATGATCTATGTTGACATGCTATATTTTGAATAATTAAATTGTGTTGTAGGCATCGCATACTAAAACACTAGTGAGAGGGTAAGAGACTATGAGGTATCATATCCAAGATGTCTATAAAGAGGTCATCTGGAGGGCAAGGCCTTTCTAATTTTATTTTGTTCTGCTAGAAATACCATGTAGCAGCCCTGAATATGGGAAAGAAAATGTTTTTCTGGTGCTTTCTTATGTTCAAGATAGTGTTACTAATCAAATAGATACTAAATTGCTGCTCTATTTAGTTCCTGATGTTCTTTAATGCAATGTCTGTTTTGCTTTTATGAATACACATATCTTCTTCTGTCAATTAGCAATAGGCTTAGCTCCTTGTTTTGGCATGTGCTAATGTCAGATACTGAGTTGGATTGTTTAAAAAGTAATGTTGTTGTTGACGGATAGCAGCACTTCTATTCACCTTTCTAAAGGACTGCAGTTTACGTGCTTTTGTTTGATTTAGTTACAATTAAGCAATTCTTTGATCTTCTTTGGGTTTGATTGTTGATGGATAGGCAGGTGAACTTATGAAGTTTGAATATCAAAGGAAGGTTGCCACTCTAAACAAACTAAAGAAACGAGGTAACTCTGAAGCACTTGAAAAGGCAAAAGCAGCAGTAAGTCATCTACATACTAGATATATTGTCGACATGCAATCCATGGATTCAACAGTTTCAGAGATAAATCGTTTACGAGATGATCAGCTATATCCGAAACTTGTTCAACTTGTTGATGGGTAAGTTGCAGCTTATTTTTAAACTTTATACTAGACTTTCTCAGAAAAAGGCCCATGACTTGATCAAAGAAAAGATCTGAATGGCTCAGTAGTCCATTTGTTTCCTAGCCCATTTCTCTTTTTGTATATATGAGGTAGTAACATTTAATCATACATCTGTATAACCTACACAATCTTTTGCACTTTTGTCCTCTCTTTTTTTTGTAGGAACTTAAATCTTAAATCTTGTGATCAATTTAGCATGTTTGTTTAGTATTGTGTAAAGGTTAAATGTGTCAAAGATGCTTTAACAGACGATGAAGCCATTGAATTTTGTTTTGTTGTTCGAAGCTTGGATGATACGTGCTGTGATGCATGTCAATTGCAGGATGGCGACAATGTGGGAAACCATGAAAGTTCAACATGATTTCCAATCTAGGATTGTGACAGTCCTGAAAAATCTGGACCTCTCTCAATCCCCGAAGGAAACGAGTGAGCACCACCATGAGCGCACCATCCAGCTGTTAGCAATTGTGCAGGATTGGCACATGCAGTTTTGCAAGCTTGTAGACCACCAGAAAGGGTACATAAAAGCCCTGAACAATTGGTTAAGGCTAAATCTTGTTCCCATTGAAAGTAGTCTGAAGGAGAAGGTCTCTTCCCCTCCGAGGGTTGAAACTCCCCCTATTCTAAGGCTCCTCAATGCTTGGCAAAACCAGCTTGAGAAACTTCCAGATGAGATTGCGAGAAGTGCCATTAATAACTTTGGACATGTGATAGATACTATTATGCAGCATCAATTAGATGAAATGAAACTGAAGGAAAAATGCGAGGAATCTAAAAAGGAGCTTCAGAAGAAAGAAAGACAATTTGAAGACTGGTACCATAAGTATATGCAGCGAAGAACACCAGAGGAGTTGGATCCAGAGAGGACAGAAGACAACCCTAACAATGATGCTGTTGCTGAAAGACAGTTTATGGTGGAAGCAGTGAAGAAGAGGTTGGCAGAAGAAGAAGAGGCCTATCAGAGGTTATGCATTCAGGTGAGGGAGAAGTCTATGGTGAATCTTAAAACTCGCTTGCCGGAGCTCTTCAAAGCAATGACAGAGATTGCGAAGGCTTGTTCAAAACTGTATGGAGAGCTAAGGTCCATATCACGCTCAAAGAATCCAAGTCATAGCCCATAGAAGTGGTTGTATGTTTATGTAATTTTCCTTTTATATATAATGTAATTTTATGTGCTTTATATAGATAAACACGTCGAACAGAAAGGTATAGGAAAAAGTCTAAAAGGTATATATGGTCAATACTTTGGTATGATTTTTAATACAATAGATGTCATAAGTTCACTGTTATCTTAAGTGTTACGTTGTGATGAAGTGGATAAGGCCACTTTTTTCTGTCGTTTCAAAACCTTATTTCTCTTCCTTGTTAGGTGGAGAATGAAACGGATTCTTCATTGATCAACAACAAGGCAACTTGGCTCCATGCTAATCCATCAGTCTTGCATTGAAACGGAAATTTTTGATAATAGATTAGCTCCCAGATAGAAGGTGGAGTAGCCTCTTTTGAAATTTAAGTAATCATCCTGCCCTCTGCATGCAATCATGAATTGTTTCCTATTGTCCATCCAGATATAGCGTCTCTGAAACTTTTCTGCCCCAACTGTGGCCCTATCTTGCTTTTCTTCTGTGAGCTTGTCTTCTTGCTCCCTCCTGGCAAGCTTCTGTTGTTCATTTTCCTTCATGCTTCCCGATTTGTATTTGATCTCTTACTCCCCAGTCCCAACCCCTGTTTCCTGCATGCACCCATTGCACCTCTGCAGTCTCTCTCACACAAAGCCACATCCTCAGGGAAGAAGAGAAATTAAAAATTAAAGAAGTGCTCTTCTCCATCAGTTGTTTGGCAGGTAGTTGAATTAATTGGAGACAGCTGTGTCACAAAAGGATTGCGGTTTCAATGTCTGTCTTGGTGGAAATGGTAGGTGGCCGGAGCTGTGCACTAGGCTTGCCGGATGATGGTTGTCTCCTACCTTCATATGATTGTGTTATTGTTTTACTCCTATGTGAAATTTTATCACCTATGTTTGTACTTAACAGCCACCTGTGGAGCGATCACTGATCAATCACCCCCTTCCCCCACCCCCCCTTAAATCAACAACATTAAGCAGGTGAAATTGCATATCATTCCGTGAGGTAAAAAGGAAACTGGCTATGATAGTATTAGCCCTTGTGGTTATTCTTGAAATTTGTAGCCAACAACATGCATAGAAAGAACTTCATAAGAATTTATATAATTAGAAATTTCGAAGCAGTACACCTTGTTCCTGTATTTAGTCAATTACCATAATTTTTGATAGCCTTTGAGCAATCTATTTACAATTATTGTAGTAATTTACAGAAAAAACTCAGAATCAGCTTATCCAGCATTTGAAATAAGTAGCTTACAACTCTGGAAGGAGTGGTCTGGCTCAAAAGTACTCCACAGGGTTGAGATCAATTGGTTATACCAGGACTCTTGAGATGATGGCATGACTTTCAACCTAAGCAACAAAATAGCTTCCCTCTTCTCCCCTGTCTTTCATTGTTTAGATTTATCCCTGATGGCTTTGGAGGGCAAGCTCTTGCCAACCTCTTTGCTGCACATGGAAAAAGTGCAAATTATCAAAGTTTGCAAGTTGTCTGGAGCATAAGGGAAGCAAGCTTGCTCATGCTTAGGTTAGTGTTTCCATGTACGTACAGGAGAATGCCTAACTGACTGAGCACACTATAAATCAACAAGGAACCAGATGCCTAGCGGTTAAAAGTTCTTCCGTTATTACATCAGACAAAATCCATCAATTATTTATTTATGCTGTCTACACAATTTGTATCAGATACAAGATGAAGCTGGTCTCATGCATTGGCCTCAATGAGATGGCTTTGTTTCCATCTACTCTGAACAAGGTGAAAGACAAATACCTATTTCGTAGAACAGCTCATTGACATTCTGTGCACTCTTTGCGGATGTTTCTATGAAAAACATTCCATTTTCTTGAGCAAATTGTTCTCCATCCTGCAAATTAATAAAAGCGAAGGAAAAATGAACTGAAGTGTGTCCTTAGCAAATTCAGATAAAGAATACTATGATTATAAAGGTGATGACTATTATCAAAACAAAGTTATTTTTGATTCTGGGTTCATATAGATAGCGTAAATATAGACAGAGGTCATCTTTGTAGAGCACTATGATGGGAATTTGTTTAGAAAGAATTTCCAGTCACTGAGGTAGTGTATTTAGCCTGGTATGAAAATTGCTAGTTGGATGAGCATCTGAGCATTAAGAACATATGAATATATGTGTGTGTGTGTGTGCTACTCCCAAAATAGAAAGGAAAGCATGTTGAAAATACCTCATTTTCAACCTCTCTCTTAGAGTCCAAGTCTGACTTGTTTGCCACCAGTGCCATCACTAAATTTGGATTTCCTTAGAGATAGTAAGATCACGTTAGGATAATTAGCATTGGATTTATAGCTAAACAATCTCCATAACCAAAAACCATTGCAGGCTTGAATAATATCTATAGAGGTCACGCAGTAGATATAGCATAGATTGAAATCACTATCATAGAGTAAATATATAGACTCAGAAATTTGGAGTCTGTCAGAGTAGATACAATCTGTGCCTTTTAAACTAAAAGATACTTAATCAGCATCAAGCTGTTCAGTTTATGATGGAAAGCAGATAATCATGACGATGCAAACTACATTGTTCTGCTTTGCATATGATATATACAAGTAGAAACCAAATGCAGTTATTGAGGCACTAAAATTAAATCTTACAGCTAAGTCATGTCATACTTGTGCAGCAGAAATAGCAACAGAATCTCAGACTTCCATACCAGTCCCTCGAGAAAAAAGTATATTCAGGAGGGAAAGAAATCTAGTGGCTTCCTTTTTCTTTTTAAGGAGGACCTGGAGGAAATGCACTTAACAACTAGAACTGAATAGAAAGGTATCATCAGTTTATACAATCACATAATTCAGTAAAAATATACAGTTTTGACATTCTCACCTTGCCTTTGCAATTCCTGAACCCATTTCTTTGCTCGTACAAACGTATCCTAAAAAGGGAAAACAAAAACCCAGAGATATGTCACTCAAATATATATTTCAGGAGTCAACAAGATGGCTTTGCAATAATATTCCATTCTATTGAAACGGTCATATAACAATCACTTTCCCAGCAGCCCCAGGCTACCTAAACAGGCCATATACTTAATTTTACATTACACAATAACATATTGCATTGCTTCAGCAACAAGCTTATTCAAGAACTTAGCAAAGAAACGATGCATTCCATTAGAGAGAGAAAGAGAAGAACATTGAGGGTTCTGAAAACAAATATCTTGCCAAGTGCGAGAAATCTGACAGAAAAAAATGGTTGAAGGAAAGGGCAGGCAGGGGAGGAGAGGGGCTTGAGCTTGTTGAATTCGTTTAAAATAAGCGAATAATTTCTCATCACATTCTACATCTTCTAGCTAAAATGATTGATATGTTTCATTTTGGCTACCTTTCCTTGCTGTCAATAGGAAAAATAAGAAGAAACCTAGGACTCACAGTCTCATCAAGTTGCCATGATTGGTTCAATCAAATTCCCATCAGTTGCAACAGATAGTTTTTAATGACTAATGCAGGAAACACTTTTAATTAGCAATGTGGTTGAGAAGAACTTCAATTTGATTTATAGCAGCATTCCTGATATAATCAATATCATTACTTAATCTAACCATGCTATTTTAACAAACTGCATGGAATTGCATAAAAATCAATAAGCAATTACCGTGCTTGAAATGTCATAAACAACAACAGCTGCCGCTGCACCTCGATAATACATAGGAGCTAGACTATGGTATCGTTCTTGTCCCGCTGTATCCCAAATGTCAAACTTTACGGTGGCTTCAGTTACTGATAATATCTGAGTGAAAAAGGCTGCTCCGATTGTTGGCTCCTAAATGTAAACAAAATTTAAGTGCCTTAACTACAATGATACATATTGAGGAGACAAAATATATAGCATAAAGAAGAGAAGAACAAGGACCTGGTGATCAAAAAACTGGCCTTTGACAAATCTTAGTACCAAGCTGGTTTTGCCGGTTCCCATGTCCCCAAGAAGCACCTGCAAGGCAAATCCGTGAAATTTATCTCCTCACTGAGATTCTCCCTGGATATACAATTTGTCGCAGAGATCATTAACCCAAAGAGGTTTTCCATTTATGTCCATGTTAATATTTATGGGTTCAGTGAATGGGTGAATGCACTTCAATGGCCTGGTTCTAAAATTGTAACTTTCAATCTCCATGAAGTATCCCAATTTGCCTCAAAATATAATATTTTGGGAACAAATCTACAAAGTCATGCTTGGTATAGACCATCTTCAGAGGCAATACTACAAAATGCAGCACACTGATAAGGCCTAAGATCATAACCTACTCCAGTCTCCAGTCCAATCTGTCTTAACATTTACAAGCTTACAGCATCATCAAATATCATTCTTTTCAGAATCAATCACTAAAATTCGCATACGCAGCTTATTTGTGCGACTTTCAGGGACTACAAGCAAGGGAAAAACAACAAAGAAACACTACACTCTGGCAAACGAGATCAAGAAGACGTGCGTCTGATCGGCAAGAAAAGAAAAGCCAAAAACAGGTTGACCCCATTATGAAATATAAAAAACAAATAAAAAGAGAAGGGTAAGACATACCCACCAGCTTGGCTTGTATGATCTTGTTACCAGGTCTTGCCATTGTACACTTTAGATCAATTGCAAAAGTTGAGAGATATCAACTTTCCTGGAAAACACATAGAAAGGGAAGGAAAGTTTTAGTCTGAACAGTTGAAAAAAACAAGGAAGCAAAACCATGTATTTTTTTTTAGCAAGAAACATTGGATGAGAACGGTAGGTTAGAGAGTTTGTATTCGTTTGTGTTAATAGTTTGATCAGCAACTTTGACTGGTAGTTAAATCCAATTTCCATTCTTCGTTGCACTGCTAGCTTAACCAAGGCTCCACCGCATCAAGAGTTTCTAGGATGTATAGTGGGACCCATAAAACTTTTCTATTGTTGCATGCTTGATCTATATCATCATGTCACATGTCACGCCTATGTCTATATATTCAACGTTCACCAAATAATAATAATAATAATAATAATAATTTTGCTCATGTAACTCTTGAAAATATATTAGATAAATTATACTTAGGCACTTGCGATTTCCGAGTTTCTCCATAACACATTAGATAGTGATTAAATCTCGATTTTAAAAAGGTTAAAACGTTAAACTTATCTATCAAAATTGTTAAATTATCTTCTGTTCAAAAAATGAATTTAAATTTAAATTTAAAGATATGCTTTCATACTATTTTTAATTAAATTAATGGTGTACTCTATATTGAGAATGAATCTAAATCACAAAATGTTAATTATGTAAAAACAAAAAAAAACAACTAAGTGTGAACTTTGTTATTGAAGTTACACAACTTGATTTTGGAGAGTGAATTGAAAGCACATAACATAGGATGGAAGCCTTGGTTTTTGACCTTATGGATGTCATTGTTAAGAAAACGAATTAATGGTTTTTAGCTTTCAAAGACACATGTTAGGCAAGTTAACAGGGAAAATATTTGTTAGTTTTTAAGTTTTTTAATATAAATATAGTATTTAATAAACATATACTTGCATTTTATAAATACTCGATTAACATTTTAAGTTACTATTTGAAATGGTTTCGGATTATCTTAGACACTACTAGTTAAATACTCAATTATGTTAATTTTAAAATAATTGTTATATATTATTAATGAAAATTGAATTAATAAATTATAATTAGTTTATAAAAAAATGAAACTTTAAAGTATTTTATATTAATCACAAAAACTTTATAAAACAAAATATTATATAAAATTAAAATTTAATATTAAAATGATCGCATGTAATTTGATTCGAATAGTGGGCAGTTTAAAATGTTTGTGATGAAGTCGTGATGGATAGTAATCGGGCCTTAATTATAAAATATTGTAATCTTACGTAATCCATAAAATACGGGATTATGTTCCTATTAATCACACGCGTGGATATGACACGTAGATGAATGCACTTTGAAAAGTGGATGGGGATCTGCGGAGACGCACCCAGACCAGACTGGGGTAGATGAGGGAGTCTCTGTTTGGTCTTTTTAGGAACCACTCAGGGACCTTGACTGCAGATACTCTTTTTTAGAATCTGGACTGGACCTTGGCGACCCAGGTCGATCATTTCAAAGCCGAGGTCAGAAACCTCCTTCTCTTCGTATGACTGACAAGAAGGACTGTGGTGTGCACTCATCTTTGATGATATTAGCAAAGCATTATCAAGTTGCGCCAGGCTTGGCCCAACACAAAAGAAGCAATAATTCCATTAACCTTTAAACAAACAAGTTAGGGCTAAGCATGTTCAGAGCTAAGAAGATATTACGCTTTGAATCTAGAACCTGCTGGAAAGGAGATAAAAGTCCTAGAGACTTCTGCTTTACACCTGTATTCGTCAGCGATGCCTTCATAACGAAGGAAGGGAGGATTCTTGAATTTGAAGGCTAATTATTTACGCAACGTTGCGTGCATGCAAAGAGCCACCCAAAACAGGAATAACTCGAAAAAAAGGCTCGTAATTCCCATTTTACCTCCACCAGAAGAAAACAAAAACCCCCAGTTCCTTCCGCTAGGAGCAAGAACATAGTGTTTTTTCTCTCTTTCTTTTATAAAATAGTTTGGAGTGGATTCTGGGATACTTAAGCTTTTGGTCTGCAATAACCAGTCAGAAGAAAAACAAAAGCAAATGGCCGAATCGATTGTTTGTGCAGTGCTGGAGAAGTTGGGTTCCTTGATATCCGACGAGATAAAACAGAACGTTGGGCTCGCCATGGGTCTTGAAGAAGGAATCCAAAAAATGACCACCAATTTCGAGGACATCAAATCAGTTCTTCAAGATGCAGAAACGAAACAGGTACGAGGTAGTCCATGGACCCTCTATTTTGTCAAATATGGGGCCCCTTTGATTACTTTTCCTATCCTCCATCAATTACCGTCCCCGCACTGGAAGCAAAAACCCAAAAAAAGGAAAAAGCTTTGATTTTGAAATCTAATTTGGTCATCGCCCTCCGATGTCAGATGACCTTTTTAGGAGATTTCCTAAATTTGGATTTTTTCTTGCAAAAAAAAAAAAAGAATTATTGAATTTGAAATCTTGGGTTTGAATAAATCTAGGGTCTGAAAAAACAATAGTGTTAGAGTTGAGGACAAGTCCCAAACCGATTCGAAATCTTAAAAATTGGGAGCTTTTAGATAACTTACTAAAATAATTCCCAAAGAAAGTAAAGTAATCCTTGGAGGATAAAATCCTTATCATGATCACATACGATAAGATGCCTTCTCTTTAGAATGCTTAAGTCCCAAGATAGTCCGATTATTCCATTTCAGACTAAAATTATTGGAATGTATAAAATTGCGCATCTATCCTTGTTACTATATGTCTTATCTTTAGCTTCAACAGGTGAAGGATGCCAACGTGAGACATTGGTTAAAGAAACTCAAAGAGGTAGCCTATGATGTTGATGATGTGTTGGATGAGTGGAATACTGCAAAACTCAAATCACAAATTGAGAAACAAGTGAAAGACGTCGACAGTGTGCCCTTGCTAAAGAAGATACGCAATTCTATCTCTTCTTTTACCTCTCAAAGTATTATATTCTATAATATTGCTGGAAAGATAAGAGACTTGAATGAACAACTTGATTGTATAGCTACTGACAAAGATAGGTATAATTTTGAGTTAGAGAAGGCTGTTGAAGAACCCAATAGGGAAATAACTGCCTCTTTCATAGATGAAGACGAGGTCTATGGTAGGTGTCAAGAGACAAAAATTCTAGTGAACATGTTGGTCGGAGAGAAAAGTTATGGAGGAGAGTCGAGCCTCCATGTCATTTCTATAGTAGGGATGGGTGGAATCGGAAAAACCACTCTTGCTCAACTGGTTTACAATCACAATGAAGTTGAATGTCATTTTGACAAGAGAATATGGATATGCGTCTCAGACCCCTTTGATGAGATAAGGATTGCCAAAGAGATCCTCGAAGCATTTAAAGGTGAAACTCCAAATATGGTTGGAAAGGATAACATTTTGCGGCAAATTCATAGTTATGTTTTGGAGAAGAAAATACTCCTTGTGTTGGATGATGTGTGGATTGAAGATGCAACAAAATGGGAACAATTGAAAAATTCCCTCAAGTATTGCTCTCTAGGGAGTAGAATTTTGATAACCACTCGGAAGAACAAAGTTGCAATGATTATGGGAACAACAACCGAAAACTTATTTCCATTACAAACCTTGTCTCAAGAGGAATGTTGGTCATTACTTTGCCATAGAGCATTCTATGGGAGGACAAGAGAGGAGTGTGAAAATTTAGAAGATATCAGCAAGAAAATTGCAGTAAAGTGTCAGGGCTTGCCACTTGCTGCAAAGATTCTAGGTGGTCTGTTGCGGTTCAAAAGATCTAGACAGCAATGGCAAAGTGTCTTGGACTGCGAAATATTGAACCTTGAAGAGGCTGAACGAGATCTTTTCCCTCCCTTATTTTTGAGCTATTATGAGTTACCTTTGGCTCTTAAACAGTGCATTTCATATTGTGCTGTTTTTCCGAAGGGAAAGATCTTAAACAAAGATGAATTGATCAAGTTGTGGATGGCGCAAGGGTACCTAAAAGGAGCACAGTGCAAAGAGATGGAGACTGTTGGGGAGGAATATTTTGATGAGCTAATGATGCGTTCTTTTTTTCAAGATTTTAAAAGGGTGATTGAACTTGATAGTGGGATTCTGGAATGCAAAATGCATGCTATAGTACATGATTTTGTTCAACTTTTAACGAAAACTGAATGTTTGATACTAGTAAATGATGATTTTGAAGAGTCAAGAGTAGATGCTCTTGGTGAAAAGGCTCGTCATGTGACCTTGATCCGTAGAGAAGCTATCCCAAGTGACCCTAATATTAACTATTTCAAAAAGTTGCGTACCCTCTTTATTGACTCAAGCTATCATGATACTTCATCACTAAGCACATATTTGCCCAAGTTGTTTGGTCAATTGAATTGCCTAAGGACATTAAATTTGAGCAACAGTATGTTTGGAAATTCAATTAAAGAACTTCCTGATCAAATAGGAAAATTGGTTCATTTGAGGTACCTTGACTTGAAACATAATAGAAAATTGAAAAAATTACCTGAATCAGTGTGTGAGTTATGTAATTTACAAACCTTAAACCTCACATGGTGTAATAGTCTTAAAGAATTGCCATGCGGAATTGGAAAACTAATCAACTTGAGGCATCTTGAGAATGAGAAGACAGACTTGAGCTTGACGGCAATGCCAAAAGGGATTGGGAGATTGACATGCCTGCAGACATTAAGGGTGTTCGTGGCAACGGATGGTGGCATTAATGGCAAAGCATCTACCCTTGGAGATCTTAGAAACTTAATGCATCTTCAAGGACATCTTAAGATAAGTGGATTGGGAGTTGTGTGTGATGTGACTGAAGCTAAGAAAGCGGAGCTTCAAAGCAAGAAAGGCCTCCGTGGTTTGATACTGGATTTTACTGATTCCAAAGGGTTGATGTCAAACAGGTTGCCGAGAAGAGATGATGAAAGACTTCTTGAAGCTTTGCAACCACCTCTTTCCTTGGAAAAATTAGAGATATGGGGCTACAGTAGCACCTCCAGTTTCCCCAACTGGATGATGGGCTTGACCAAGCTGAGGCATGTTTCACTAGGTTTTTGCTTTCATTTGAACTGTTTGCCTCCTTTGGGAAAATTACCATCCCTTGAATCACTCTATCTAGGGGAAATGAGAAGAGTGGAAAAAGTGGGAGTTGAATTTTTAGGAGTAGAAGGAGAAGGGATATTACCATTTTCTTCATCGTCAGAATCTTCTTCATCATCTATTATTGCCTTTCCTAGTTTAAAACATCTCGAATTTCGTGATATGGAAGAGTGGGATTGTTGGATCTCATTTACTAGCACAGGAGCAGATCATATTAGTATTATGCCTCGCCTTTGTTCTCTAACAATTGATTCCTGCCCCAAGTTAAGGGCACTGCCATGGTACATTTTGCAGAATACAAGCCTAGAGCAATTGGATATAAGCCAGAGTCCTTTTCTTTCAGAACGTTGCAGAAAGGAGACGGGGGAGGATTGGCTCAATATCTCTCACATCCCTAGCATCATAATTGATGGTCTATCCATGCAAGTAAACTGCTCTTCTTTTGAAGAGTTTGGAGTATTGCAATTGCAACCACTACACAGGTATTCTTATATTTTATTTATTAGTATCTGTCCAATTTCAAGCACATTGGCAAATCATTTGTCTAAATATTTCCCTATTTCGGAAAACAGTACTCCCGAAATCAACATGTGATAAGGATCTACATTTTTCTGTAATAATAGCCTTACACACTCCTTTGTAGCCTCCATTAAATATTTTTTTCTCATGGTTGTATCTTAGAGATGAAGAAGATTTTCAGCTAATATAAAATTAGTTTTTCACACAGCTTTCTAGCAAAAATGTATCAAGCAGTGGTACATCGATGCCGTTGTATCTTTGGCTTAACTAATTCTCTCCTGCTATTTGCTTGCTTTTCAGCTCTTTGTTAAGTTCGAACGATTTCCTCAAAGTGTTTGAACAAAATTGATGTTTTATCAGAGGTATGAACTATAATTATCTTTATTTCCTTTGTTATCTTTACATTCATAAAATTGTTGAAGTATGTAATCTTTGTTTAACCTTTTCTTTTTCATCTTAGCAAGCAACTTCTTGTTGGTTTCTAGCCAGAACATCTAATGATTAAAGGCTATATATGTAGCAGGTATCTTTTGTTTCAAGGCGCCTATATAAAATTATTGGAATACATGCAATAGCATCCATTAACCATTGGTGTTTAAGCTAGCGTTTGGAGTTCATTTGACATCTTGGTTTATACCTACGATTTCAAGTCACTTGAAGAGAGATTTCCCCAGCATAGAACTTTCCGGAGATGCATGGAACATAGACTAGGTAATCAATTTTTTTTTTTTAAATGTTAATTAGTAATACAATGATGCTTTTTAACAATTTGCCATTGATGTTATGAACATAGGAATTGGCTCTTAAGGCAAGTAAGATGGGATGACGTTGCCAAAGAAGTAATGGGACTACAGCATATTGTGCTTCTTTGTTCTTCAAGATTTTGCTTGATACTAGTAGATTGAGAAGTCACTTAGACGATTACTATGGACAGGAGTTATCAGACACCAATCCTCCATTTTGGAATTGGTTTTTCCTTAATCTCATCCAATTGCAACTCTTTTATTGTATATATTTCCTTTAATTACTATGAAGGAGCAGAGTTATATGTTTCAATTCTTTCTTGGAATAGATATGGGAGGCACAAGGGAAGAGTGGGGATTCCAATGTTAGGTCAAACTGGAATTTTGTAATTAACACCACATACATTACATTCTCATGTAATATTTTTTTTTATTTTAATCAATTTTTTTCATGTTTATCAAAGATTATAATGTCATTTTTTTAACAATCATATTTTCAATAACTATATTTTCAGTAAAATATCAAATATCAGTTTAAGATAAATTAAGAGTCTTGTCGTTAAACTATTAAAATTAAAAACTCGAATATGAGATATATTTGCAATTGTAGTACAACATTTGAATTGGAAAATTAGAAAAAGGAAAAATCTTTGTACGGATTATCTACTTGTGGAGCCCTGTTGTATCTCATAACAAGTTTAAGCCAAGTTTTGGCCTAAGTGATAGATGAAACTAAGTTACAGCTTGCGTTGATATTAAACTTTGTATATTTATAAACAGTTACTCTTTCAGAAAAGCAGTAACAAGGAAAAGAAAAGTTCTACCAACCATGTCAAAGAGCTTGACAAAGACATGGAAAGATGAAGCTACATTAAAACTTTTATATAATTAAAATGATATAGTTCCTAGCTTAAATATTCAGCCACCAAAATCCTCCAATTACCTTGCTGCAATACGTAACTAGTCATTCACATGGTTTCTGATTACTATTTCCTATCTCATGACAGAAACCAAATATTTTCTTTTGACCCAAAAGAGAAAAAACAAAAATTTCACGATTGCTACACTCCAAAGCAAACCCAATAAAGAGTAAGCAAACAACAGACCCACCTCCCTCTAAACGTACATACTCTTCCCTTGCACACACACTCCTAAGTCCCAAGTCCTGACATTTCTCTCACAAGCCAATGGTTTTCTCAAAACTTGAAAAACCATCACCACCGGAAGAACCATCGTCTCTATCCCACTACTTCACTGCTTTTCTACCATCCCAACCTCCCAATCAAAACTACGTAGTTTCTACGGCCCGGCACTCTGTTGGTGCGGCTGTCGGATGCTATGCATGGCTTTCTTGGTGTTGTTAGCTTTCTGGCCGTCTCACCCTGAAGTAAAGATTGTAAGGATGCATGTAAACCGCATGCAAATGCATACCATAGCTATCATAGCGCTAGTCTTTGTTGGTAACTTTGAAAGTGAGGAATTCGGATGTGTATTCCATGGACTTTACCAGCTTGGATATGGCCGTTGGGTACAGAGGGAAGATGCTGGGGCACGTGACATCGGAACATGGTCACGTGAGGGCGTGGGGTTCGTCTTACTTGCAGGCAGAGCTGGAGCTTAATGGGGTTGAGGTGTTGTCCGACGTCGTGTACATGTTGGAGGACTTGACTAGGGGAACTGTCCCGTTTGATACTATTACGGAGGTTGCAGGCTGGCTTGGTCTGTCCTTGTTTAAGTTCCCTTTGAAGGTAAAAAGCCAAAACTTTTCTCCTTTTTATTGTTATATTTGCTTTCTTAATTAGACCTTCTGATTTGTCTAGACCTGTTTTTGTATTTATTAAGATTTATCTTCTTGGGGTTTGTTCTGCTATTTTACACAATTTTATTTTAGTTAATTTATTATTGGTTTAAAGACCGACTATATTAAGGTTGAAGCTTATGTGGGTTCTTGTAATTAATGTTGATAGCGTCTCTTCGAAGTACTAAAACGAGTTGGTGCTGGTTCCCTTGCTTGTAATCTTTAGCTAAATTAAGCTTGAAGGTTTGTTTTTGTCACGTTGATTGCCATACTGAATTTGTTTTCTGGGAAAATTTCAATTGAGGCTAACCATCAACGCTGATTTATGCCAACTAACCATTGCCTAAACTCTAAGCAAAATCTGTTGCTTAGTGGTTTTCATCTTGAATTCTTCATTCTTGAACTTTGATGATTAGTCTTTCGAATCAAGGCTATGTGACTAATTAGTCTACATTTCTCAAAATGTTTGTTGCTTCAAGGAGATTTGTTAACCCTATCCTGTGGGATTAATCTACTAGCTAGTGTGACGAGGAAAGGTCCACTCCTCCCACATCGGGCAGGAACGGGTAGGTCCTGGGCTATAAGAAGCGGGGTGCTGCAACCCTGTGACAACCGGTTTTCATGGGAGAGGGTAATGACCCCGTGACAAAGTGGTATCAGAGCGGACCTGTTACTTCGTCCGACTCACACCAAGCGCCTGGGTCCGGGAAAGGCGGAGAAGGGTAGGCAGGGTGGCCGGCGGCGCAGCGGTGCGCCGACAACGGGGACGTTGTCGAATCGGGTGGGTGAGGGTGTGACGAGGAAAGGTCCACTCTCCCACATCGGGCAGGAACGGGTAGGTCCTGGGCTATAAGAAGCGGGGTGCTGCACACCTGTGACAACCGGTTTTCATGGGAGAGGGTAATGACCCCGTGACACTAGCACGTTGCAACTTACTCTGCTTGCAGAGTGAGTTTATTTATTTTCTATATATAAGTGATTGAGGGAATTTAGTCTCACAGTTCCCCTTTCAGAAGAAACTTATTGATATGGAAGTCATTGGTTAAAGAGCTCATGTAATAACCTCTGTTAAATGAGCATCTAGAGTTGTACTGTTAACATTCCATTTTGACCGCAAGATGTATGGTCCTAAGTTTTGGGAGTTGAAACAAACATAAACATAAAGAAGATTCATGATTTCTTGTTTTTGTGTTGAAATGCTGACATGCTATGTTATCTCAGATGTTCTATACAGACTGCTTCGGCCTTTTAATGATTTTGAGTACATTTTGAATGTGCATTTTTGGGTTCAATCAGTTACTTTTTTTGTGTTGCTTCTCATGACAAGTTTGCAATTGAACAACCTCAATTCAATACTCAAACCTTTGCGCAGAGAAATACAATGAAATGGAAGCATTAATGTCATAGTCTAAGGTTTGTTGCTTTTGCATTCTCTTTTCATTACAACACCTTATTTTTCAAAATGAATTGTCTTCTGTGTCATGATTTTAGATTGTCTTTATTGTAATTGTTCTACAGACAAGAGTCTCATGCGAGATTGTGGTAAATAGAACCAATCACACTCTCATCCACCAAAATTGTTAACCGCTGATAAGGATGCATCAACAAGTTAAGTTGCTTTTCTTCTAAGTCGTAACCAAACTTTTCCTGTTTATATCACAGAAAGCATAATTCATCTCTAGAGCTTATGCACTAAATCCCTGACATCCATTAAAACGAGTCATGACTGCAGCCTTCAAACTGAAACGTCTACCATTTTTAGACTGCAAATGACACACATTTCAATTGTTTCTTGGAATTCAATACTTGAAAGGTAGCTGCTAGCCAGCTAGGAGCCACTACCCACTACCATTGCAATTACAGGGCAATTGTGGGTCAGATAACTGGTCGAGCATGTCTTGTTTAAGATGGTCTGCAAGTAGTTTATGTCTGGAATAGAGTATTCTATTGATTTGCTAAATTGTTTTAATATGTTTAGAAATGAAGTTGCAAGCGCTAGATATGACCTCGAGTGTGGTTGTTTGCATGAAATGCAGCAAAGCTGAAAGATTCACCGGTATCCCAGACCTGTGTTTGTAAACATTGAAACGGGTTTGGGGATTGTAAAGTTTGATACGTGTGCAGCGTATCATGATCTATTGTAATCTAGCAAATCTTGTTTCGATCATACTGGATGCATTGATTAATCTGTATAAAGTGGATCTTCCTATCAGCTTATGACTAGTTAAGAGTATAATATATTCCCATTTATGCCAGAAGTTATATATTTCTTGTGTAAAACTGCAAGGAAAATCTTCTTGGTGTACAAATTCAATCAAACCATATATTTAATATTCCTTTTCAAACTATATTTCCATAGAAACCTATTAGCCATTACGGCCCCTGTAAATTAAAATTTTGGAACATCCCTCTTCTGAGCTAATTTTTTTTTAGTCTCATAAGAGACTCAAATTAATAACTACTTGTAAATATTCGAACCGTTTCCCTACATGATCACCCTATTTATATTAAACCCTAAGACTTTCCTTTTGTGCACACCCATGCTGTCCACCTTTTTGGCTAGTTATGCGGTCCACGCTTTGACCCATTGGACTCACATTTTTATCTCACAAAACATCTTACAAGTTGAAAGTCGTGTGAACTCTTATATGTCTAGTATCACTTTAGTACTAGTTGATGTGAGATTCATGAGCTTTTCATTGATGTAGGACTTATAGTTCTGTTTGCTGAGGATATAACTCTGCAATGTGGGATTAATAATATCCACACTAAGACTATATCGTTGAGATAATGCCTCTAGCGAGTAGAGTCACAAAGTCCCACATTGAAGATGTCATGGTTTTAGAGAAAGAAGCCATGAATCCCACATCGGCTTTATACTAGAATGATATTGGGCATATGTTCACATCACCTTCAACTTGTAAGGTGTCTTTTGTGAGACAAAATCGTAAGGCTAGCGAGCCAGAATAAACAATATCTCACAGGATTGTTGTGGACCTTGACACAAACTACTAGCAAAGCAAATTGCTAAACCAACTAAAGGATCCAAAAAACTTGTATGGCACATATGTCTTGTTCCTTTTCATGTACTAAAATGAATTTTAAAGTTTTAAGTTTGATCTATGGATAAGAAAAGTGTTTAGGGAGCTTTTTTTTAAAATACGGCAACAAATACAAATTTCCAAATTGGTTTTCCCATTGGTGGAACTGGTTTGGACCCCTAAGAGAAATCCTTCCACCAAAAATTGAGGAAATTTATGAAAAATTTTCAAAATGTTTCAAACCAAAAGAAGATCAAGCAACTTTGCATACATCAATACACTTCTTCTCAAAATTAACAATCTCATGGATCACTTCCTGGGATTATGCTTATGATAATGATATTCATACTGGTGCCCCTATAGTCATCAGAATATTCAAAACCAAGTGGTGGTAGGTGTCTTTGGGGAGTGTCTTCTACTCTTAGTTCTGAGTATTGACTTTCTAATGTTTCAAGTCTACTGTCAATTTCTTGCAAAAACTGGGTTTTTGGTTGTTGGTAATTACTTGGAATTTCAAAAGGTATGAAAGTAGGTTTTGAGTCTCTGTGTTGGTTTATCGTTGAGGTATTAGATATTTGTTGGAAATTTGTTGGATACTGTAATTTTGTGTCAATTGATTCTAGT